ATGATGTCCGTGAATTAGACGAGCGGGAATCACTAGTATTTGTGAATCGACACTGATCCCCAGCAACAGTCTAGGACTACAGTTACGGAGGATAGTGTTGAACTGAATTGAGTGAACTCTCATATTGATATGGACAATTCTGTTAACATTTTAATAGGTTTGAGTTGAGATCGATAATTGAGAACACGTGTTGGTTACAGTTGTTAAAGATCTTTTTTTTTTCATTGTAAATAACATTTTTTATGATCATTTAAGTGAGTGTGCATGTGTGTGATTGTGTGATTTATTAGTTGTTTCTTTATGTAAATAAATTCTTGTTTTTCTTGAAGCAACTCTTAGTTTTGATTTGAAAAGGAAGCCTAACTCATCCACGTTACACTGTATTAAAAGTTATTTCACATATGACAACGATATGGAAAAAAAAAAAATAGGAAGGCATATTAAATTAGGCAGATGGTATATTTGGAGAAAAGATAAAGAACACAATGGCGATAGTTATAAGTGGTTTGTTTTGAAGCTCATATTTCACCAGGAAGTTAGACAGGAAATTAAAAAAGAAAATAGGACACAAAAGAAAAAAAAGGAAGAAAAAAACCAGGAATGGGAAATGTCAAACCACTGTAAATTCATCTAGATAAATTATTTTGTTCAGAAGTCCGATAAACTTGAAAAATGAACTGGCCGTACCAAGCAGGTAAGAAATATTATATATAATTTATATAATAATTGCCTTTATTTTTCGCTTTGCTATTACATCTGAAGCTGAGAATTCGTGAACGCTTTTACGAGCATGTCTCAGATAAAATTCGTAGAAACTCTCCTAACAAACATTTCAGCTAAATTATTGATGTTGTATAAATATCATTGTGGCAACGCACTTTGAACAAATCACGCACTTTGATAATTTTTTTTCAAAGTGCGTTAAATTTGGGACGAAATCCATGCACTTTGAAATTCTTCTTCAAAGTGCGTTAAGAGTGTAGATCAACATTTTGCACCATGGCGACACTTAACGCACTTTGAAAAAATATGTATAAAAATTCTGGACGTAGATTTTAGTACAACTGATCACGTTAGTTATATGACCCGTTGCTTGTCTGTTTTATATTCCACCGAGCTGCATACTCTTTATTCAAAATGTATCTACAATGATTCCTTAGAAAAAAGGCATTTACAGGATAATTAAAACAAGCTATTTGACATGTCTAGTCTTTTATGATATCAAATTACAGATTTCAAAGTAATCTGACTGCATATTTTTTTGGTAAAAATTTCAGTCGAGTGAGTAATATGGCTAAGGTTTATTTTTCTTAGTACATGAAACAAATAAATGCGTCAACCAGTGTTTCATATACGTTCATAATATATAGATGAATGAATATGAGAGAGAGAAAGAGAGAGAGAGAGAGAGAGAGAATTTTCATGGTATGGAAAAAATCACAATTGCTCCCTTTCTCTAAGAAAAAAAAGATGCTTTAAGTCACTTATCGTAGCGAACTAACTACGAACTGGATAAAATAAAAAAGAAACGAAATTGTGCTATTAAACAATCATTCATCCATTATTTTTTTTCGTAAAGACACATTTTCTTTTTTTAATATTTAGGAGAAACGTTGGGAATAAAAAAACACCTAAATATCTTTAATACTAAAGCGTCTATATCTAAAATCCTGAAGTGAAATCATCACCGAAAAGTTATTCAACCAGATAAACATACTTATTTATTATACCTAAAATTTTGCAAGTATATTGACCAATCCGTGCACATTTTTTTTTTCAAAGTGCGTTAATATGGTCGATACTAACGCACTTTGAAAAGAAATATTTTTGTTTCAAACTGCTTTGATTTGGTCCCAAATTTAACGCACTTTGAATTTTTTTTCAGAGTGCGTAATTTTTCAAAGTGCGTTGTAAGATAGCATACTAGCTTTGACCATTCCAAATATAAAATATTTTGTTGAAATATGAAAGTGTTTAGCCCCGTGAAGCGCCAACCCAATGTTTGCTATCAGGACTTCAGCTATCAGTATCTTAGCTATAAATATGAATTTTAGGCAATTTCTTGTGTCTGAATGCCGTGATTCAGCAGTAAACTTTTGAGTATTTTCAAGTTTCTAGAACTGCTAAAGAAATTTCAACCAATTTTGACATGTACAGCTGTAGTATCTATAAATAAAAGAGAACTGAATTACGGTTTTAATGGTCTTGCCTCCCAGTGGCCTGAGTAGCGTTGCCAAAAATGATCAAAATTAACGCAATCCTCAAAAATAAATAAAAAGTATTCCTTTTAAAGGGATTATTGGAATGAAATCGTAAAGTCAGCATTATGAAATATCTTGAAATAAGTTTTTAGACATTTCTTATCTTTTTTAATTGACTTAAATCAATATTTTACTATGAGTATGTTATCATGGATTATCCGCGAGTTTATGTAACGTTAACTTTGTTGTGACGTCTCATTACTTTACGTTACGTCTCTATAGATAACAACAAGTCTCAAATAAACCACTATACGATTAAGACGTCTTTCATTTCATTCCACAACATATGTATATATATATATATATATATATATATATATATATATATATATATATATATATATATATATATATATATATATATATATATATATATATATATATATATATATATATATTATTTCACAATTCTTTCTCAACTGAGTATGGCATGTAAAGGCATACAAAATTTAAATTCTTGTTATATAGGGTAGTGTAGCCTTTAAAAATCATCTTGTAACTGGAAAGATGTAACGTTCACATTTTTGTGTAATAGGATGAGAGACATGAAAATCAAACCGGATAAATCTTTGTAAAGAAAAATAACTAATGATTAGTTAACTATCAAACCTTTACAGAGCTATTAATTTAAGTTGCAAGGGAATGAAACTTTAGTACTCATGCATGTATTTTGCTCAGTTCCCTACTTAGTCAATTTTTTTTTTCTTATTAACAGGATAAGTAATTATGTTCAGAAATATCCCTAGCAAAGTTTGGCCTATGAAGATAGTTTAAACGACTTTGTATTTTTTTTTTTAAAATTTGCTGAATGAGTGTTTCCCGCTTAACACCAAACGAATTATGAGGCGGGTGCAAAACCAATCGATACATTCTAAATCATAGTAGTTGATGGATGCGATGTGATTTCGTATTATGTTTTGGCTTTGTGAAGTGTCAAGCACTTTTTTTAAAAATCTACATTACGGTAAAAGTCAAAATACATATAAATTGAAATGGTGAGATTTGAAACTTCTTTATAAACGATAATGAACTGAAAGTCCACAATGCTGTAAATAGACAGAATGGGAAGAGTCGCACTTTCTTAATTCGATTTGACTTGCATATTTTATTGCTTTCTAAAACACCAATGAAAAGATAAACTTCTCCCTTAAGAGTTGTACCTCCAAATGAAATTCTTACGCAAGTAAAGAAAATTTTAAGTTTTTTCACCACGTGACTATATAAACGTTTGCATCTCAAGGTAAATGCATCAAAAATGCTCGTTAGTACTTAACTTAAAGATTTACACGAAGCTGTCGGCGCATAGTAGACAAAGTAGTACAGGACGTAATGTGTGCGCAGATAGTTAAATCTGCCGGATACCTCATATGGAATCAACTGTGTTCGACCCAAGCCGATCAAAAAAAAGATGGTAGTGTATTTGACCTTATCATAAAGTGAAGCATACGCTTTTAACACTTGAAGACCGGTCGGGTAGCCTAGTTGTAGGACGCTCGCTTTCGTGATAGGGAGGTAACAGGTTCTATTCGCGTCAAACCTAAGACATAGCATAGATAGTGACTGTTTCTCTGCCAAGCTCCAGACACTAGAAGTGAAAGTCATGGGTCTTTCGAAGAGACCTTAAAATCAACATCCCGTGTCCCGGTTGCGGTGGCACGAAAAAGAATCCTCACTGCTCAATGTCCCTAAGTGCCGAGTAAAGGTCCAAATTCGAAGCCCTTCACCGGTATATGGAGATGTCTCATTTACATGTTAGTGAAAAGTTTTTGCAAGGGATGTAAAACAACAATCAATCAATCTTTACTCTTGAACTTCCTGATGACAAACTGCATGAGTATGAAAATGATTATATATTCCTGATAAAAATGTAAAGTTAGGTGTCAGGTGTCCAGAGATCCAATTCTAGTCAAAAGTGATCATAGCTGAAGAAATGAAATCTAAAAATAATGACACTTATGAAGCTCAAAAATACATTGGAATCATACAAAATTGGAGTAGAGCAATTTCTCTTAATTTCTTTTATTAAGTAGATGTATTCATTATTTATAGTCTCTCTCTCTTGTGGATTTTTCCCTACTTTTTCCTGAATATATCTGATGAGAAAAGTAACTGCATTACACATAGGTGTGTTTTATACTAAGAACGTTTACTATGATAGATAAGTAATGAAGTAAAATAATAACACATCAAACAAAGTTATATTCTTTGTATTAATTTTTCTATTTTACAGATTCGAGTCATAACAGAAGGACACGAAGCTTTTAAACTTGTGTTTTGCCGAAACTTAAGTTCGAAGAGTATCTTCTTTCACCTTTAAGCATTGTCAATGTAGATGTTGGAGAAGGCGAGGTGGTGTGACAGATTTGAATTATAAAGATATTTCCCTTTAGAACCCGTACAAGCAATTCAGAAATGAATACTACTCTATCATCTGAACTTCTTTCACAAAATTATTCAACATCGGTCCTACCTTTCACGATATTTTTCTTGATTTTGTGTTTCACTGGATCCCTAGGGAATCTCTTTGTTGTTATCATGTACGCAGTAAAAATCAAAGATCGTGATGGTCAGCGTTACTTTATTCGATATTTGGCAATAGCCGATCTATCCGGATGTCTCGTGCACGCAGTAGACATTTCTATCTCTAACAATATGATGTATACTTATCCTAATGGAATTTCGTGTAATCTCTTGAGTTTCTTGTTGTTTTTTGTCCATTGTGTATCTACACTGATAATTATGGCAATAACAGTACAGAGATATTTTATGATATGCCGACCCTTGGGGATGCAACTGGATCTCCGACGCAAACGAATTTGTCTTTTTCTTATTGCCTGTTTATCAACTTTTATGTCACTTCCGATTTTCTGGAACGACAATAATGAGAAGAGGACATGCTCTCTTGCAAAGGAAGACTTTGACTTTTTCTTCGTTTATCAATACTGTGCCGGCGTCTTTTCGCTGGTAGCAATATCAATAACTATTGGTTTGTATGCAATGATATTACACACTTTAAAATTGAGAAGAATTCGAAGAACACAAAATGAAGAACGGAACTTTCATTTTAGATATGTTTGTTGTTTGAAATGTTGCAAAGCAAAATCATTGAAGACAGAATATCTCAAAGGTAAAGAAAACGTGGATAGTCACTTGAGTGTTGAAAATTCAACTTCTACACAAATACGCTGCGCAGACAGTTGGATTAATTGTTTCTCTCCAAATAGGGACGACCATGAAGTGAAGTTAAACAATATAAAACTGCGTCAAGCTGAATCTGATATCGGAAATCAACAAGTGTTTCAAAGAAATAACAAAACAAGCGAAACCGACACGGAGGAAAGGGACTCCACAAGAAAGGAAATATCTGGGTTTGAGATAAAAACTGAAAAACCACAGTCTTCTGGAAATGTATCAAAAAACTTCACACAAGCATTGAAATCAGAAAACATTATAACAAAAATGTTTCTGGCTGTCTTAACTACACAGATTTTGACGTGGTTTTTGTATATAGCGTCAACGTTCATTCCAAGGAAAACGCCTCCTCTGGAGAGCATAGAGGACAAGGTCGAAGAAAATTTCATTCTAATGTTAAGAAGGGCCGTGTTTTTCGGATACCTATTAAATCCAGTTATTTACCTTTATTTTGATGGACAGTTCAGGCGAAAGATGAAGGGCGTTTTCTGTATGCTATCTGGCGATCAATTCTCAGACACATCCACGTCTAAGACAGGCAACTCAAATTTGCGATGACATGAATAAATTTCAGAAATATATTTTACAAACACAACAAATGAAGTTGACACAAACTAAACATTTCACAGTTTCATCAATTACCTGTGTTACACGTATTTATACATCAGGTCTAAGATCAGGTTCAACTTCATGAGACTTGTGTTCCCTTAGTTAAAGAACTATGAAGTATGATGTACGGGCAGATCGACAGACGCCTGGTAATGTGAGTTCTAAGTCCCTGATTTTCATTCCGTTCAGCAGTTAGCCAAACCAAAATAAGTGTATTGTTTAGTGTACATTATTATTTTAGTGTATATTTTAGTGGATTTAAAAAAGCGTATCTTAATTGTCTTCTATTAATGTATATTTTGTATAACCTTATTTGGTTAAAGCTTACATGAAATCTTAAATATGCGAAATTTTCATCCTTGTTCGACTTATTTCATCCCCGTACTGCCCTTTCCGCCATATTTCTTTCAGATTCGCTGACTTATTTTACCGGCTATTTAAAACCCTAATGCCCTTGTTACACTTGACTGATTTTCTAGCCTGGCTGTCGACGTGTTCACATCTCCGATAGCAGTTTTGGAACACACCATGAACTGACCGAAAACATTTAGGCTTATACACATCTCCGATAAAGTAGTTTTGGAACATGCAATAAATCTAACAATCCTACCAAAACTAGGAATTTAATTGAAAACTGGAAAGAAGTATATAAATTTTGAATAATTTAGATGCATTGCATAAAAATCAAAACGGCAAATGCAAGTTTGATATACATATATATTTGAACAATAAAGAAGAAAAGGCTACCACATGCATTTTTCCCCAAATAACACTGTACTATTGAGCTTTAAGCATGCTACACGGTATAAGCACATACTACAGTACTATGCAACTTACGCATTCAAGCTATACATGCATGCATGCGGAGAAAACGCGTCGAACGCTTTAAACTCATCTGCCTGAAATACTGCTATCGCTACAGGTATGTGCACATGTCGACTTCCTATTTTCCTTTTATTGAAATATGCATCACAGTAGAAATAACTCCATTTGTAACACAACGGTAAACACATTGTCACTAGCACTTGAACACAAGTGGTCCCTGCAGATCAGCATTTTTGGTCAGGGAAAATATATCGAAGGTGGAAATAACACTGGTATTTGCCTGATTAGACAATATATAGCTACGCAAATAAAACGCTTCAGAAATCGAACTAACTGTTGTCGGTACATGTAGTAAATATATTCATGAATGTGGCTCCAGTACATCAAATTTATTAAATAAACATACATTCTTGTTACGGATCTTACATCTTTTAAAGAAAATGAATGGGGGTTGAATATGTAGAATATACTTTTCATTATATTTTAAACAAAAAGGTAGGATTTTCCTTGATCAAATATATTTAAATACATGCAATAAACTGGCCTCAACTATTTTAGATATAAAACTGATATATCTTAAATTTACACACACTGAACAATTTGTTTCTGTAGACAGATTATTTTCAAATCAGGACCCTTTCAGGCGTCACAAATAACAAGCACGATTGATACAATTAACAAGAAGCACAGACATAATTATGTGTAATAAAATAATCTACAGTACATGATTTTGTATATATTGAAGTTGAGTAAGTATTGCACCATTAGAATATATGAAAGTAATATTGATAATTGAAATAGTTCTACCGTGTACCCAAATGTAAAGTGGGGTGATTCAACAATCCTCGCATTGCAAAAGATATCACAAGGCGATGCAAAAGACCTAATTATTACATTACATAAGTGTTTTTTTAACAACTACACATATTTACACATTCTAGATATTTAAAGAAATTTTGTAATGTGACTGAATGATTAAAATATGGTTGCGTGCATGTGTATTATTTCTTTAAATACTATATAATTAATAGTCAAAGTTTATAGGAAAGAAAAACAACTTGCCTCCAAGAGTGTACATCTCCCCCCCCCCCCCCACCACCAACCCCCCCCCCCAAAAAAAATTAAATTCTATTTTGATATTTTTTTATGCCCCCGTATCGAGGATTCGGGGGTATATAGTTTTTCCCTGTCCGTCCGTCTGTCTGTCTGTTTGTCCGCAAAAACTTTAACATTGCTCATAACTTTTAATTAGTTGGGGCTATGGCTTTCATATTTTACATGTGTATTCCTTGTGACAAGACCTGTCTTTGAATACTATCAAATTTGACCTTTTGACCTTGACCTTTGAGTTTGACCCAGTTTTACAAAATTTTCCCGACTTTAACCTTGGCCATAACTTTTGAACAGATGGTGCTAGGGCTTTCATACTTCATATGTGTAATTCGTGTGACAAGACCTTTCTTTGGATACCAACAACTTTGACCCTTTGACCTTGACCTTGGAGTTTCACTTACTTTTGAAAAACTTTAACATTGGCTATAACTTTTGAACAGTTCGTTTTTGGGCTTTCATACTTCACATATGCAATCCTTATGACAAGACCTTACTTAGGAAACCAACAACTTTGACCCTTTGACCGTGACTTTGGAGTTTGACCTACAAGCCTCTAAGTGGCCTCTAAAATTTAGGCGCCAGCTGGTGCTTTATCAAAAAAATTAGCCGCCAATGCAAATTTTTAGTCGCCAGGCAATTTTTCTAAGGCGCCAACTTTACAAGTTAATAGAATATAGGGACCAATGACGTACCTAAGAATACACGAAATGTCCATTGCTAAAAATAATCTACTCTTCTTTTAAATTTCTTTTCGCTTTTTTCAGAAAAATTGTTAAAAATGTGAAAATTTCTGGAATTCAACGATCGCCAAGTCAATTTAAAATGGTCGCCAATTTGGCGACTTATGAAAAAAACTTAGGCGCCAATCAAAAATTTTAGGCGCCATGGCGACTAAATTAGTCACCAATTAGAGCCCTGACCTACTTTTGAAAAACTTTAACCTTGGCCATATCTTTTAAACGGTTGATGCTAGGGCTTTCATATTTCACATGTGTATTTCTTGTGAGAAGGCCTTTCCTTGGGCACAATTAATTTTTACCATGACCTTGATGTTTGACTTACTTTTGAAAAACATTAACCTTTTCCATATCTTTTCAGTGGCTGTTGCTAGGGCTTTCATATTTCACAGGTATATTTTTCGGTACAAGACCTTACCTTGGGTACCAACATACCGGTATTTGATTTGCATTTGAGAAATTTAACCTTCCCTATAAGTTGCCATACGGGGGCACCAGTGTTTCACAAACACATCTTGTTCTTGTCTAAAAATATCTGGTAGGAACCCTCTGTGCTCTTCAGAGCTTCTAAAAGGTATAAAGAAACAAAAAAAAAACCTGACTTCTTTTCCTCTGGAAAGTACGTCAGAAGGGTCCACATGTTTCCATTCCCGTGAAATATAGTTTTCACAATTATTTAGTTCCCCTTTCGGTTGGGTGTGTAGGTTTTTTCTTCTTTTCTTTATTTCTTTCTTTTTTCTTTTTTTTTTTTTTTTTGGCTTGTCAAAAATGTAGACATTTTTTACGGCAGGTTTGATCCACCCTGCCCCAGAAAAATTCCTTGATCTGCCCTTATAAAGACAAATAGCATTTCCCATGATTTTTACTACATCGGATTTATAAGCATTATTGCTCTTACATGTATGAATGCTTACACATGAGAGAGAGAGAGAGAGTATACTTGTATTGAAAATGCAAAAGATACCGGGTATTTATCCATAATCTTGCGGTTAAGGTTTCAAGTAATCCTTAAACTACCCGGTATCTTTTAAGATTTTCTCAAAATACAAGAAATTGAATAGGTACCAAATTTTAGACTGCCTGCGGAAACTCTCCAATCTGGAAAGGCTTCCTATACATGCATATAAAACAGGCACGTAGTACCGTTTTTCAAAATGGGGAGCAGGGGGCAGTAAAATGATTGACAAGCAAAAGAAAAACTTTAGGCTTTTAATAATTGGGGGAAGTGAAGAAGGAAAACAGGCATTTCAAAAAAAAAAAAAAAAAAAAAAAAAAAAAAAAAAAAATCCGTAGTCAGGGGAGGGATAAATTCCATTCATACTATCATTTTCGGCAGAAAAAAATATTTGAGTACAATGTACAATGATGTTGGATGAGAGTGGGAGGGGGGATAGCCAGTCTTTAAAAAATCCTTACAAAATCAACCGTAAAAGACAGGCCTGTAGAACGAGTGGGTTGGGGATGCCCCCTCTTTTACTGTTTATTATGAAATGCACACTCAAAAGCTGATCCCCTCCACTTTTTGTTGCACTATAGTCAAATCTTCGAGCAATTTCAGTTTTTTTTTTTTTTTGGGGGGGGGGCACAGCCAAACATTTTCAGTTGAGGGGGTACTATCAACTACTAAAATCCCTTGACAGCAAAAAAAAGGTCATCAGCCGTTTTTATTGAGGGGGCACAAGCATATAGTAGCTAAGTTTTCTATAATACATTGGCAAAATTATTGGGGGGGGGGGCACGGGCCCCCGTGCCCCCCCCCCCTCCCCCGGTTCCTACGGCCATGCTGTTGAGTATTTATGGTGTTTATTACTTTTTTTGTGATGCATATTTCAATAAATAGAATACAAGATGTTAATCACTCGGCATGTGCACATCTTCGAACGAATACAGTGGTCTTTTTCCAGGTATGAATAATTTTACAGAATTCTCTTGATATGCATCAATTGTTTTTGAATGCATATGGACATGCATAGCAAATGCGATGGTTGTTTGTTCCATTCTTATGATAGATAATTGCAAATTGTTTGTACGAGTTTTACTGTGTATTATTTCAAGCTTATTTTGCATATATTGGTATGCCTTTAAAAAAAACATGGGCGACTATGTTTTGTCTTCCAAACTTGCATTTATATTATTCAAAACGATAATTATTCATAATCTTCATATAATAATAATTCATCGTTTTGACTGTTTTTATCTGTTCTGGTTTTAAAATATTTCCGTCAATTCATGTGTTCCCAAAAACTTTACTATCGGAGATGTGCACGCATCGATAGCCAAACCAAAAACTCTGCACTCAAGTGTAACGAGGGCACTGGGGTATATATCGTTACAATAAGACAAGGTATCTGAAACAAATATGGCGGAATAGTTGGTATGAAACAAGTCGTACACTGATGCAAATGTTGCGTTTTTAAGAGTTCATGCCTGCTTTAATATTGATATTATGCACAGTGAAAAGTGATTAAGTAAACGTAAGCAAGGAAAGGGGTCGTACAAAGCGAGGACAATCCTCCGCTTTGAGACAATATATTTCTCAATTTCCAAATTTAAAAAATTGTTATATATATATTTTTTTTAAATAATGTTGTCAGCAGTGACATATTTAACACATTTTATTCGCTAATTTTGTAAAATGATTTTTAGATTGATAAATTTATTTTTAAGTAAACATTTCAGTATATTTAATGGAAAATGGGTTTATCATAGTCCTAAAAATTGATTTTGAATATGAATGGGTCATCCCCATTCTATGATGGTACATGTAAATTCAATGCAAATTCTTTATTATGTTATGTTTCAAAAATGCAGTCTGAACCAATATTGTATACATATAAAACTTTTCAGAAAAATATGTTTCTACAAACTTTTTTTACTTAAGCCCTTCAGATAAGCGTATTTGGTGAACGCGTGCGAATTCGAATTCTGTGTAGCTTTCTTTTTTCCTTATATCGCATGCCATTGAAATGTAATATTAGTTAATAAGTAATTCAAAATAATAAGAAATCAAATGCTTTGATAAAGATGACATTACTAAAACAACTTTTTTGGAAAATGTTACTTTTCTTTAAACCTTTAAATTATCCCAGAGCATGGATTGTCCTCGCCTCCTATTTTTTTTTTAGATAAGTAAATGATCAAATGTTTTACGAATATTTGTAGATCAAGGAAATATCATACTGAAAATTTCTAAAAGGAAGTTTAAAAGTAAAAGTTCAATACAGTTGCTTTATTTTTTTTTAAAAAAGTATTACATTTAAAATACCATAATCACTTATTTTAAAAGGGCCAAAGTTTAGGGAACTCCGATCTTTCAACTTGCGTTATAATTTCATAAATATTATGAATGCTGTTGAAGATAACGCCAGGCGATGGGTCAAACCTGAAAAAGAAGACCTTGACACTTAGTCGCTATGGTTTAAAAGTATCAGATGGATGTTAAAATCTAGCATTAAGCAACTGAGGGGCAATATGAAAATCATCTATCCTTCTGATTTCAATAATTCAGAAGTGAAAAAAGAATGAGATAGAGTACACGATCATTATATACTGGTCCCAGCTGACAAAGCAGGGTACAATAATGTCTTTATTTGTAAGGCTCATTAATTTAATTGTATTTTAGAGGAATTGGGATTTAATTCTGCAAGCGGTAATCCAAATTATATCCATAGCTCTCTTTCTAAGGAGGAAATTCTTCAAAATCATCTGTCAGTTTTAAATATTTTTAATATTTCCAACAATCAAAATGAATTTGAATTACCATACTTATGCTGGATTCCTAAGCTTCATAAATATCCTTACAAACAAAGATACATAGCGGGTTCCAGTTAAAGTTCTACAATGTACCAAGCCTCTTTCCTTATTCCTCACTAAAATATAAGCATCAGTGAAGGAGAAACTTCAGGAGTACTGTACAACAATATATTCGGGAAGTGGTGTAAATCACATGTGGATACTTAAAAACTCCAATGCAGGGAACTTTTAGAAAATTTGAAATCACAAAATTTTACCATGGTTAATAAAACGTATTAAAACGAACGACTTTTCAACACTTTATACAACCATTTCCCAATATATATTAAAATCGAGGATTTTTTGACATCATAGACAGCTGCTTGTTTTTAAAAAAACATGTAACTCGTAAATTCAAATACCTTTAATTGATCATTTGCAAATTATTTTGTTAAAGACATTCCAATTGTACACACATGTACTCTGAAGGTGAAATTAAAAAGATGGGTATTAATTTGAAGTCATTATTTTTACCCATGGGTAACAATTGCACCTTGTTATTATCAGACCTATTTTTGTATTCAAATGAAGCAGAATTTATTAAAAAATTTGTAAATGACAAAAAGATAGCACTTGTTGTGGCCTTCAACTCGACATGTTTGAAATATGTGCAGAAAATGAACAGTATTCAAGCTCAAAAGTCCATTAAAACAATACAAATCAGGAGCAGAGTAAACACGGACCTCTAAAACATCAGAGGTGGGATCACGTGCCATCCCCAGGTGAGCATCCCATGCCAACCGGTCACACCCGCAGTGTGCTTCTTGTCATAATCGGGATATAACGGGAAAATCCGTCGACAATTCACTAGGTAAATATTGGCCTAACAATTACTATGAAAAACGTCAGTCAGTATTTGACTTCATGATAGATTGTATTTGCTTACAAGGTCATTGTATCGACCATAGAATTTACGAAATGATGACTTTCAAAGAGACTGTCGATATTCTTGTTTCATCAACTTGTTTGTCAATATCTTACTTCGTTTTAGAAATTGTACATACGTGGAGCATGCTTTACTGAGAGATATACACCCCATATGCAGGTGATGAGGGCACTACTATATTGCTGCATAAGTAAGGGAAGTTGACGATTGAAAAGTTAAATTTTGCAAAATGACCAATGACGAGGTAAATAAATTTGCGAGTTCCATTTTTTATTGAAAAAGCAGCTGTCAATTATATCAAAAAGCCTGGACCTTTAGAAGTCCGTGTTTGCTCTGTTTTCTTTTTGTATACTTTCAATAGACTCTTGAGTTTGATTGCTGTTCGTAATATCCATATTTGATTACAATGACTCGCGTTTATCCAAGTCACTTTGAAAGGAGAAGTAATTTTTTTCTGAGGAGTGATCGTTTACTATTTTGCTCCGGGTAGGTATTTTGGCGGTAAAATGTATGTCCTAGTATCGGTTTTGGAAGTTCATTTCTTTTCTTTTTCTTTTCTTTTTCCCCCTTTTTTCGGGGGGGGGGGGCAAAAACTGCGATCTTTTCACATATCATGATGGAGGTGGGTTATATCCTTTACTCGGGGCACGGCTTATTCTAATTTATTCCTTAAGATTTCCCAAAGCACATTTCAGTATCTAATTATTTTTTGGAAGGGGCATATATTTCAATTTCAAAGTATATATAAATCTGTTCTCCAACAATTAAGTTTCATCGTCTGTGTCTGTATCATACCGAGCAGTCTATATATCTGTTCGATGGTGTAATGTTACCAGCTTGGTCGGTCTAAAAAAAAAAGTGTCCCTAAAACAAATCCAGTCTGCAGTCACAAAAGTCACAGCACTTTTCAAATAAAAAATATATTTTTCTATATTTTAGAATATGGTAAAGATCTATTGAGTGAATGCTCTTGCCAAAAGACGATTTAATGAAGCACCTCAAATTAAGCATGTTCCTGTCCACAAAAAAACCCCACAATACAAAAACAAAAAAACAAAACAAAACAACGCAAAACAAACAACAAACGAACAAAAAAAAAAAACATATTACAACTGGTAAGGAAAAATAAAATAGTTTTAAAGAAAGACAATGCATCCTTATTATTAAAATGTGTTAAATGTTATTAGTGAAATTTCTGAAAATGAAAAACAGACCCATATAAAACCAATGCTATTTTTTGCTCTTTTTCTCCTAATACTAAAACAAAGTAATTAATTTGTTTTCGTTGAAAAAGACAAGATCGGTCGATTGTAAAGGACACAGGCTTACGATAGCATAAGAACAGTAAAATAAAGGATATACTGCATTAACATAACTGACAGTGATTTCGTGTTTCAATCAGCAGATTGAATGAAAATTCTTTATTTTTACTTAATATACACACCTAACTTTTTGTTTTTTGATTATTTCTGAATTAATTTTGCACAAATGGTATTGAAAAGGCTCTCCGGTCTTTCCATATTTTAGTGAAAGACTTAGTACAAGTAAATTGTGAAGAAAGGTTTTGTTAATTGGTGTAAAAGGCTTGATGTGTGCTTCTACATACTTAAAAACATTTCCACCAAAAATTCATTTAATGTTTTGAGATTTAACACTTCCTGCTGACATTAAGTACACAAACATACATGAACACAACACTCATGCAAACACTACACATAGTTAAAATACATTATAATTTGTGGACAATATTTTTATAAATTATTGATTTACTTATTTTTTTAACTTTTTTCAAGGTGGTTCTGTCTGTTGATATGTCTGAACACCGCAACTTGTTGTCGTCCGATGATCCAACCCAGAGAAGTTGAGATCTGTCATCATAACTCAGACTCCTGGGAAGTATTATACCGTGTTCTTTAGTTAGTAATAAAGAAAAAAATGCCATCCTTGTCAATCATCTGCACTGTTCTTGTTATGGAATCGCTATCAGGATGTTTGATAGCGAATCTGTGCATATTCCCCAAGGCTCCACACTTAGTTGGGAGTCAATTGTTGGTCCGTAGTAACTGAAGCGATAATTTCCTTTGCGGTCTGTCACAACTAAATATGAATATTCATAATAATTCCCGTAAATCTGGTCAGAAACAATAGCATCTCCGTTTTGATTCTCTGTGATAAGCTCAGGATTATTATAAAGTTTCTGACCACTGACAATATCAAACATGATGACTCTGACCAGTTGCTCAAATCTATTAAATACCATTATAAAAGCTTCTTCACATTTGAAATATAAATGATCACAACTTTTCATCAGGACAAGCAGATTTCCGGAGGCTGAAGAGCAGTAAATATTCCATGGTTTCTCTACTTCAAATATGTTCATAAATATAATTTTTGTTTCGTTGTCCTTACAAAGTTTGGTGATATTAAAATCCAAGTCTATATAAATTAGTTCTCCACTTGGGCTCACTGTCTGGGAACAACAAGAGGCATTTTGTACATCTGTCCGATGGTGTAAAATGCTACCAGTAGAGTCGACCAAGAAAAGATTCGTGCCATAACCACTTACCCAGATCCGGTCTGACGTCACAAAAGAAATACTAATTCTGCAGCTGGTGCATGGAATAGTGATAGTATTATGTAATACTGGTCTAGTCACAAGTCTCAGAAGTCGGTCATTTTCCACCCGTCTTTTTCTGGTCTCAATAAAGTGGACTTTTCCTAGTAATCTACTCATTTCCTTTAAGTTCATTTCATTTTGTAAGGAAATAACAAGGGTTTTTGGAATGCCCTTCATCCTGGGAATGAATTTCCTTTTTATAAATGATAAAAATTGAACTGGTTTATTAGTTGACTGTTCAAAACCGAAAACATATGTCTCTATACCTTTGATTGTTCGTCTTGATTTTTGAAATTTCGAATTCAAGTAAATGAATATTTCTTTGGTATCTTTTACCGCTATGTCTATCAGAGTCTTTTGCGTCTGAGCTTGTGATGTCATTTTTAACTGGAGTTGAGTCAGAGCTGATTGACACTTACCATAATCAGATTTTATTTCAGCCATGATGGCATGGTTGTACAGTAGCAGTTCGCTCCTGATATCAACAAATCTGTTCCAGCTTTGTTGTCTTTGAGTTTTATAAGCAATTGTAATGTCCAATATTTTATGTCTGTGATGATGATCATTACATTTCTCACAAATTGGATGTTCACACGATTGACACAAGTATTTGTAGTTTCTGTCTGAGTGTCTCTCGCAAGACTCCGGTATCATAAAGTCCTCATTTCTTAAGCAGTCAATCACTACATCATGGTATTTGCCATCGAGGTCGGTCACATGTTTTTCTTTACAAAGAACGCATAGATTTCCTTTACACGTTTTGCAGTAGTATTCTTTGTTAACCTGACAATTTGAACATTTTGGTACCTTTAAGGTTGTGTTGAGAGAGATTTCCATAGTGTTGTAATATTATACTATTTTCACAGCATTTCCTTTAGGTTTGTAAATTTCCATTCATTGACTTTATTTTGCACTCTAAAATGAAAGGATATCTTATTGTTTTTATTGTAGCAATTAAGCATATCTTTAATTGAGTTTGGGATATTTTTCATATAGATCCATATAAATGTAAAATAATAAAGTAAACAAATTCTAAGTTTTAATAATCATGTAAAGAAATAGTAAGTTTAAGATATGTTTAAATGTGATATTGTATTTTTGAAAATAGATTCCGGTATGAAATATATACATATATAAGAAATAAATTTTTAATAATCTTATTATTTCTATAGAGATCCTCTGTACATCAATAAAACATGTTTTTTGGTCTCCAAGGAAACTTTATCATAAAAAAGATGTAAATATGGAATTTATCTCTTTAATTTTTAACGTAGGGTACATGTACCTACCATTTACCCAACGGAAAGTTTTAAAATTAAGACAATGAAGTGCGAGGGAACTGAAATCACTTTAGCTTACTTAAATCGAAGAAATATATGCAAATAAATTGTTCAACTGATTCATCTGGGCCAAATGATATAATAAGAATAATTGAATTGATTACAAATTGAGTAATAATTAAACCTCTGTTTTCAATTTATTTTATGTTAGGTCTAAAGGCAGATCACTCTAACTGCAAAGAATACCATTGAATTCGAGCTCTTTAGAATGCAGTGTATAGAGGGTTCTTAAAGTCAGAGAATTCCTCAATGTTCTGTAGACCTCTTGAAACAAAAATAAAAGCCATTTCTAAATTTAATCAATGATGAATAATATTTACTTTATTTTACCTTCGTTTACAAAAATACATGTATTTGGAAGGATTTTTGTAATCAAGGTGGCAATGCCAAGTCATACAGTATTGAGTTTGTTACATTACATCATCTTCTCTTCTTGATTTATTTGGTGCATCAATGGGTACATGTATGTTTATTTACATGCAAGTAATAAGTTTGTCAGAGAGTGAGCTTGGTACGTAATATATGTCATAGATAGAGTGTTTTACAGTGTTTGCGGTTTTTTTTTTTTCTGATTTCAGGTATAATTTTCAATGATAAATAAATATTTTTATTTTAAAAATAAGCAAACCGTGAGATAACTTAAATTAGCTTTGAATTAATGACTGTTGTTCTTATCTTTCACATAATTGAAAATTCATGCGAACGACTCACCCCATTTTAATGATATATCATCCATCTTCTTGGATGACTGAAATTCTTAAGTAGCTAAATATTGCTACGTGTCGTACTCACCTCATCAGTATAGCCATCAAAATTGCCTGATTTTTACGCATAAGTGGCGCGCTGAAATCAATCCCCATTTAGTATGACACATCGATAGCGTCAAATGTATTTTCAGCACAACGATTTAAATGTGTAACAGGTCTGGCTTTCCAGCAATACAGAAATGTATTTGGTGTCACAGAATAAATACTAGAATGTTATTTGTAACATTCTGTTCATGTATCACAATTACCCTCTCTGTCAAATGTTTTTCAAAAGCTCAGAATTATGATTTAATGTTAAAGTCTACAATTTGTTAAGGCTGCAATAATATGTCATAGAAGCATCTCCTGAATATTAACAGAACTGTATGTAGACATCAGGCAACCTAGATTTGCTATGAATCGAATATGTTTCAGAAATATATTTTACAACACCACAATGAAGTTCACAGAATCTTAGCATTCAACACTTACCTTTTGTAACGTATTTAAACAATTACTTTAAATTGATTATTCTTGTGAAGTTTTAGAATGATTATATATATATATATTAAAAATCACATATTTTACTGGTAAATATTGGAATGATTTTGTGGAAAATTCAATCAAAAATATTTCAAATCGAAAAATGTTTCTGAAAGAAATCCGTGAATGGCTGAAAGGCAAACTTAAAAAAATATTAAGTATCAAATGAAATAAGAAAAGTTGTACGAGGTAGGAGCGGATATTTTTTTAAACTCAAAATACAAAAAAGTGGCTTTCTTGAAAAAAGTCAATGTTTTTTTTTCAAATATCGTTCAACATAAGGCGGGAAGCTCAAAAGAATAATATAGACGTAGTTTTACATGTACAGAATTAAGCATATTAGTCAGACAGATCCAACTTGAAGGAAAAAAAGTGTGACAAAATTTTTAAGTCTGCTGAAAAGTATGATGTCAATTTTGGTCATACCTTTAAATTGATGTTTTAAGAAAACTTCTTATTACAAGTTTTTACGAAAACAAACTAAAGATGTTCAACATTACTTGGGTTATAATTTGTAGGATTTTTAAAAATCTCGTCTTAGTGGCTATGATAAAACCGATAAATAGAACCATGGACATTGCTTTAGTTTATTTGTTTAAAAATTGATATAGAAATCAGATCATAATTTTTTAAGCAAAACCTTATATACTGCATAATGTACTTTGAAGTACACGTACACCCGTGTTGCAGAGAATTGAACTTCAACAAATTTTGAAAGGACAATAAGAAAGGTCATAAACAAGCAATGAAATGTATGGAGATAACGATCAGTATTCAAGCTCAAAAGTCTATTAAATAATACAAATTTTGGATTAAAGCAAACATGGACCTCTAAAACATCAGAGGTCACACCCTCCGTGTGCTCCTTTTCATGATCGGGTAATATCGGAAAAATCCGTTGACAATTCAGTGTGTAAATAATGGCCTAACAATTAGTATGAAAAACGTGAGTCCTGGTATACAAGAACCACATAGAAATAGTCAATCAGAAACTCAAGCATCTTTGTAATATCAACTTCAGAGTACTTGTGTGTACAATTAGAGCGTTATATAACAAAATAATTTTGTAAATGACCAATGACAAGGTAAAAAAAAAATACGAGTTCCATTGTTATTGTAAAAGCAGCTGTCAATGATATCAAAAAGCCTGGACTTTAATTCATTTTGGGGAATGGTTGTATATAAAGTTGAAAAGTCGTAAGTTTTTATGTTCTTGATTTTAGTAAAATTTTCTGATTTCAAATTTTCCAAAAGTTTCTTGGAATTTTTACGTATCCACATCTGATTTACACCACTTCTTGAATACATTGTTGCATAGTACTCCTGAACAACTCTTAAACTAACATAACTGCCCTAAGTGAAGAAATATTGATAGAGAAAGCACAAAGAAGTTCACTTTTATAAGGATACCCACTTTCGCCCAGCCCGGGGTTGAACTCTCGACCTACGGAATCTGTCTCCTAGCAGTACAGGAACAGCGCGCTAGACCGGTCAGCTTTCCAGGCAAGTCAAAAAACTTGCTTTCGATGCCGATGGAATTCTCGCGGTGCTGCTCTACACTACATGTTCATTGAGAATGGAAGTGAAATACAGTTATTTGGACATTAGTAACTATATGAAGATATTCATAACAGCAAAAAGTCAATGGCAGTGGTGTTCTTTAATGTTGCACATGGCACATGTATTGGTAACATTGACATTGCGTCAAATTAAAAAATTAAAGCCATAACTTTATTTTAACGTTTTAAACACTAACTTTTATATTTAATATATAAATTAAATTTTATCAAAATAAAATAGTTCACAAAAATTCAAATCTTCCAATGTTCTAGTTTTATGAAAATATTAATCTTTTCTAATAAATCTAATAAATAAATACTAACTGTATTATTAAATATTTACTATCGATTTGACACAGGCAGGAAAGAGGATCTTAATCATCTTCGTGCATTTCTTCCAAGAGATACTGAGATATAGGACTGGAAGAAATGTAACATAATTGATTTTATGATTGATGCAGTATTATCTAAAAACAAATGTACCGTGGGATAATTCAATAAAATTCACTTTTTACTTGCAATATTTTCCGGTACACACTCCTATTTTGAGAAATGCCAATGTCAGGAAACGATTTATTTATTTATGTTGGACATTTGACCAACACACAATAGATTCAGCCCACACTTAAGAAGTTGAGAAAACGGCGTCAAAACGTCACCAATATTGCAAAGAATGCATGCATATTATTGTATCCCCAGATTGTGATATAATTTGGACGACTGAAAGTGCAAATTTTCATAAATTGTGGTTTCGTCATCACGGGTTTTTGCCCTAATGATCATTAACGAATAAAGTTTTATCACAACTAAAATATTTGTAGGTTATAAAATAAATAATTTTTAGATTGATTTATAACTTCTAGCGAATATCACATCTTGAAAAACAGCAGTTTCTTTACGACAAACTAGAGTCGAATATTACAGTACAGACAACGTAACGTCTTTGTGAGTTGTTGTTATCATCAGAAATAAAGCTGCTCAGCAAAGTCAAAGGACCTTGCAAGTTAACAGTTGATTTAAATTTCGAAAGTGGAATTGAATTTAGAAAAATGCAGTAAATTCAGCATACAGCCACAGAGAGCTTATAAATACATACTTCAGAAAGTAAAATAGATATTGCATTCATGCCTAGTGGGCAAAGTGAAACACAGAATATAGAAATAACCATGCGAGAGACAAAAAGTGAAGGTCCCGCAACCATATTCAAATAAAACAACCAATGTTTTTGGATTCAGGAGTAATCTAGTTCTTCATTTTATTGTAAATCTTTCCATGTAGAAGGTTTGCTGATATAAGACTTAATCAAACCATTTTCTCTGGTAATCAAGTATTCCCACTTAGGTCTACATTATTCTCACTAATCATCACTGCAATGCATATTACAAGTTCATAGGTTGTTCATAGTCTCCGATATGAGTCAAAAGATTTGTAAACGGTTTATAGGGCGAGAAAACCAGAACCCTAAAGTTATAACCAAACCGATTGAATTTTACATTCAAAATTCTTTATGTTTAGTTCATACTTCCATGAATGCAAGTCGTGGGAAGTTTGGTCATACACTGAAACTTGTTTAATCCGGATGTTGTGTATTCTGAAATCTTGTCTAATACGATGTAAACTTTGTCCCTTTCAGTTATATCAATTGTTTA